GAGAGAGAGAGAGAGAGAGAGAGAGAGAGAGAGAGAGAGAGAGAGAGAGAGAGAGAGAGAGAAGATTTGATAGATTTTGCTCATCCTTTCGATGGAAGTTGCACGAGGCTGCGGCTGGCCTCGCGCAACTTCCATCGAAAGGATGAGCAAAATCGATCGAATCTTCCTCTAGAACCTTGAAATATTCACTACTACACAAACACACACACACACACACACACACACACACAATCAATTAATCAATCAATCAATTAATCAATCAATCAACAAAACCAATCAAGGTCCTATCGAATAGGATCGTGATTGCTTTGGTTGATTGATTGATTGATTGATTGATTGATTGATTGATTGATTGTCTTGATTGGTTTTGTTGATTGATTGTGTGTGTGTGTGTGTGTGTGTGTGTGTGTGTGTGTGTGTGTGTGTGTGTGTGCGTGTGTGTGTGTGTGTGTGTGCCGGGGGAGGGGAGGGAGGACCCCTCCCCCACCAATCAATCAATCAATCAATCAATCAATCAATCAATCAATCGATCTATTTATTTATTTATTTTTTTTAATTTTTTTTTTTCACACATTAAAAATCGCCCCCCCAAAATTTCATTTTTTTTTATTTTTTTTTTGCACAGGCCTATAGCGGCCGACGTGCGCAGGCTGAGCGTGCACGCGGATTTTGAGCGTGTGCCCCCGCCTGGGCGTGGCTCGGCCACGCGCAAACTCCGCCGCGCGGCCTCGGCCGCGGGCCTACAACCTGGGAGGTCGGCCGCGGACTAGGATCCTGCTGCCGCGGCCGAGGGTGCTAAGTAGCTGGTAATGGCTCTGGCATCTCATTTTTCTCCTATTAAAAAACCTAACGAGACATCTTGTGAAACTTTTGGGGACCTGCTTTGAAGTAAGGGATCAGGGGCATCAAATGATTTTTTACAAGGACGGAGAGGGGGAGGAAATGGGGCTGCTCGATGGGTACCGGCTACAAGGGCCTCTTATCAGATGCGATTGGCGTCAGGTAGTTTACGTTGGCTGATGGGTACCGGCTGATGAGAGGGAACTCTGGCGCGATTGGCATTGGGTAGTGTTAGTTCACCACCTTGACGACGGAGACTGGGATTCTTGTGAGGGCAAAGAATGTGAGGGTGATGATGGTGCTCGGCCCCCGCGGAGAAGAGGCTCTCTGAAGTTCTTCACGACGACGGAGTTGGGAAGGACGGAGGTGATTGGGAAGGAGGAAGTTGGTAGTGGATGCGATTGGCGGTGAAACTTCGGCGGGTACCGGCCACTGGCCGCTAACTTCACCCAGATTAGTCTGCGTTTCTTCCCTTCAATGATGGAGGCAAGATTGTTATGTGCGGCTATTTTTCCAAAAAGAGGTTGAGTGGGATGAATAGATGGTTGGATATCAAGCGTCCTACTAGTGAGGGGGCTAGCTTGTAGGATGGAAATAGGGCACAGCAGCAGTGGAGATGGTGGCTCTGCTGCAGTAAGTCTTGTCGGAGTGAGGTAAAGTGGATATGATGGGGGGGTCTCTGAGTTGTTTTCTGAATTTTGCCTACTTTGAAGCTCCTGTAGTGAAAAAAAAGAGAGTAAGGTGAGTGGAAAAGATGGTGGGTTATCACACGTCCTACCAGTGAGGGGGCTAGTTGGTAGGATGGGAGTATGGCATAGCAGCAGCAGAGATGGTGGCTCTGCTGCAGTCAGTCTTGCCAGAGTGAGGTAAAGAGGATTGATGGGGGATCTTCTGAGTTGTTTCTGAATTTTGCTTAATCATGAAGTTGTCATAGATATGTCTGAAGTAGCCTCAATTTTTTGAGCCAAAGTCGGGTAATGGCCCCGGTATCTCAGTTTTTAAAATTCCATCCTTAGGACAATTAGAATTTTCTAGTAATTCTTCGTCTCATTTTCATGGAATTTTCTGATGAGTTTTCTGAACGTACTCGTTATGGGACGCTGGGCCCGGTTCCCAGTTTGTGCCAATTTGTAAGGATATGGTTGTATCTATGGGACGCTGGACCCGGTTTCCAGCAGGTGCTGCTCCCCACCAATAGATGGAGCTTGGTT